AAACAACACCATAGCAGCAAACTTCTCAGTCAAGAACTGTTGAATATTTAACACTGTGTGAGGCTGCTCATGCACTTTGAATTTGTCTGTGTGTTGCCAGAATCTCAAAGGGGACGACAGTCTTACGAGGACTGTAGTGAGTGGAAATAATAGTACAGAAGCCCATTTTTGGTGTTACACCATCTTTCCAGAGAGAAATATATTCTCAGAATACTGAAGTTTCTAATCTGACTCAAACCCCCCAAAACAGAAAAATCAAAGCAAAGGTTATAAAATTTGCTCACCAATGAAATAATAGTGATGATGACATTAGAGCTCTGGAAAGCAGATGAATGCCCTACAAATACATCATTGTCTGTTTTTTTATCTCCAAAGCCTGGTCAATAAATACATTCCTGGTTTTCAAAACTCTTCCAGGACTTTCTTCACTCTACCCGTCTGTGACTTTGTATGCACCTCCTCCTGGCTCACTCAGTGACTGGCGGATGAGGAGGTGAGATGATTTGATGAAGGTTGCAAAGTAAATTAGTGAGTGACAGAGCCATGAATAAAAACCCAGTCTTCTGTTGGGACTCCTTTGATTTAACCACAATATCTGCTTGTTATACAGAAATACACTGTGTGGTAAACATGAATATTCCTGGCTTTGGAGCGTGTTACTAAAATACACCAAAAGCAATTAGCCCACTTTCTTCCTTATTAAGAGCTAATTATGGCAAAGTGTTATTTAAAAAAAAAATGCCCAGCTGTTTTTTTCAGGGCAAGTGCAGAGAGTACATTTCAAACTGTTCATCACTTATTTCAGCACTTCTTATTTGGAGCGTTAAAGAAATGGGATTTGTTGGGGCCATTTCTGATCTACCATCCAATGAAACGAATTATCAATCAGGGATGAGACACAGAGCATTTCTGGGCAATTACACGATACCTTGGGTTGTGGGAGAAAGCATCAGGTCAAAAGCGAAATGACAATTACCCAGGAAATGCAACAATTCAAAATAAATATGAACTTACCAGGGTTGGTCACAGAGCACAGAATGAAAAACCCCATATTCACAGCCAGCAACAAATACGGCAGCAGAAGGTAATGAATGCTGAACTCCATCTCTTGGCAGTAGCCAAATACTTCCCAAGTGTATTCACCATAAACTG